CCCCCCCTTTCTCCCTGCTTACCTCCCTACAGAGGACTCAGACTGTGAGGGGTATGTCAATGGACATTACATAGGTGAGAGACCGCATGCCTTCTCTGCTTCCTCGCTAGCCTGCAGGCTAACCGCTCGCGTGTGGCCGCCTGCTGTTCCCCAGCCAACCAGTAGGGGGTGCTGCTGGATCGCACGAATGGAAAGAAAAACTGCTTCACTAGCAGCCCTGAGAAACAGGGACAGGGGCGTCTTTTGCTACTTACAGCCTCACCTGACATAGTTGTTCTTCAGCTTAACCACCAAAAGTAATGGTTTGGGATGTGCAGTCTTTGATTCCCACAGATTTAAGTAAAAATTATGCTCATTATGTAAAGTGGGTGTATAAAACTAAGATTCACATTTTCTTTAAAGATGGCAGCCATTTCCATAGCCTTTGATTTAAATCTGTATCAGGATTCCTTCACTCGACCAGAAGTCAGATTAAACCAAACAATTTCTAGCTTTCAAAAAACCGTAATGGTCAAAAATCCATGATTGATTGCAGCATGTGTTTCAACGGTGCACAGGGATGACTTTATTTCCTAAGTATAAAACCATCCCTAATTTTTTTCCATATCAGATTATATTCCAAAATATGCATGCAACCCTTCCCGGGCAAACTGTCCTTCTTGCCTGGTCTGAAGCCTTCCTTCCCCTGACATACTTAGTTCCATTTGATAGCTGATCTGAAAAAAACACAGGTCGATATAAACAAGGCTGGATTTGAGAAGACCTGCCACCAGGTGTCACTGGCGAGCTCCTAACATCTAATCTCCTAATTGATTTTAACTGTCTGGGGGACATAATTGCCGTGTGCCATGTGGGTCCCCCCCTTCACCACCCTCCCCATGCTTTACCACACCAGGCAGGGCAGCGTAAGTGCGCCCCCTACCAGCTATGTTTATATCACTCAGGGCTGCCTTGCTCGTGCTGTCTGCAGGCTTCTGCCCCCCTTGCCTCCCTGCCCCCCTCCCCTGCTTTGGATGGGCTGCCCCCCCTGAGCCGCGCACGGCCGCCTGCCGCTTGATTCCTCGTTTGGACTAAAGCCAGGTGGTGTAAATCAGTGTCTCCCAACCAGGCCCTCGGGGGGAGCGAATCATTGGGGGACTCCCAGACAGTCTCCATTTTTGCTAGGGAGCTGGGAGGAAGCAAAAATGTGGACTGTCTGGGGGCCCCTGAGGACCCCCTCCCCCCAAGGACCGGGTTAGGAAACACTGGTATAAATGGTCTAACACCAGTTACAGTTTCTCCTAAGTGTAAGCCCGTTGCGCCCTCCTGTGGCCAAGCCTTTTCCTGGGAGTTTTACACAGGTACTGTCCCAGTTCCTTCCAGTACACTGAAACCCGCCTTCATTAACTATTAAAGTGCCTTATTCTGCCTGTACATTTTGCATCGACATGAGGAAAAAATGCCTTAAATACTAAGAATATAAATGTATTAGAAACCATTTTCTAGTGGACCTAATGAGGCCACAGTTTCTTTTCATAGAACGCTGTCCCAATAGTAAGATTCCAGATGTACTGACATCAACAGTAGCTCAGTCTTACTGCCAGTAATGTTGTTTAGTTTATTGTCAGAGTATTATTGCTCAGAAAGTTTTGATTGTCCTGTAATATCTGAGGTGAGCCCTGCAAGTGAAGATGTATGTGCTGGACGCCTTAAATTCATTGGCCCAACTAGTATCAGCCACTGTTCATTGTTACATGCTGTGAGATGTGCAATTTCTACACACGATTAGATGTGCAATTTCTACACACGATTAGAGGTGCAATTTCTGGTCAGGTATATGTTTTTATATCTGCTTTACTTATAGTCACATGCAATTTTAGGTCATCTGAGTTTTATGCAAAAATGTTCTTAGGTTAGAAGGAAAAATGATTGGTTCAGAGAGGTAACCAATCAGATTATAGAGGAGGTGGGTTAAAGCAACTAGACGAGGCAGGATCAACCAAACAGATGTCTTGGTCCTGCCTCCTCTAGTTACTTGGACTTACCTGCTGTACAATTTGATTGGTTATCTATCTGAACCAATCATTTTTCATTCTGCCCTCAGAACATTTTTGTGTAGGTGAAACTCCCACAAGAGCAATTTTAAGGTATTATGCTTGCCTGGCAAATTGACACCTTTGTTGTTATTGACCTTTGACCTTCCCAGATAATGTATTCTACAATGTCTTAGGGACCTTATAATGAGACCTAAGTGGAAGGAAGGAAGTGAACAGGATAACTTTGCCTGTGTGTTACATGTGCACCTTATTGTGTAGATTCAGTTTTCTGGACCTCTTTTTCCACATCAGCTGGCCTGAGAAGGAGTTTCCGTCTCAGCCGCAAAGGACGTCAGGACACTCCTGAGGAGACCCCACCCGAGTCAGAATTCTTGACCTACGAGGAGGTGACACGATACCAGCAGCGTCCTGGTGAACGGCCCCGTCTAGTGGTGATGATTGGTAATGCTGCTGTCGCCTCGTAACCTCACCCTTCTCTTAGATCTACTTAACAAATAACTGTCTTGATATTTCTCATTGGTGGCGCTCATTGTGCCCAAGATTATTGGCCATGATTAGTTAGATTGCTCTAAATAGATCCGTCTGATTAGGCATTGAGAAATTAGAGATGTCCCTGTTCAGTGCAACCAAAGAGTAAGGACTATAAGATATTTAACTAATCTATCCAGCTCACATATTCTTCAATCCTAAGTAAAAACATCAGACTATGACAAATCTATGGCGAATATTTATCTTCTAAGTGGTAATAAACTATTTGTTCTTATCTCCCATTAAACTCTCTTAGTTAATAAACAGCCATGATTTGGAGGTGGTCTTGCTGCTGTAACGCTGCAGGCCCAGTGGCCAGCAGGGGGCGCCTCATCTGACCAGCCTGTCAGAATGGGAATGAGCATAACAAATGATAACCAGATTAATCAAATTTTGCTCAGGGCTCCGCAAAGGTTTGTGCACCTGATACATTATCCTGTCACACCACAGGCTCCTTGGGAGCACGGATTAATGAACTGAAGCAGAGGGTGATAGCAGAAAACCCCCATCGCTACGGAGTGGCAGTTCCTCGTGAGTCCCACCCCTCCCCATGCTTCCCTACCCCTTCACATCCCAGGCTCCTGTTACTAGTCTTCCACCCATGGATGACACTTAAGGGTCCATAACAACTGCCCGTGTAGCTGGCAATGGGGTTAGTCTATGCTTTCCACTCCTGAGAGTTTTACTTACAGAAAAATGCTCTTAGGGCAGAAGGACAAATGATTGGTTCAGAGAGAGAACCAATCAGATTGTAGAGGAGGTGGATCCAAGCAACTAGAGGAGGCAGGACCAAGACATCTAGTTGATCTAGAGCAGGGGAACCTCTTCATCAGCCAATAATAAAACAGTGATTCTCAACTCCAGTCCTGGAGACCCACTGCTAATGGCTGATTGAGAGGTCATCCCAAAAACCCGCACTCTCCATGGAACAGGTTCCCCACCCCTGGTCTAGATACTTAGACCCAATCTTATTGGTTATCTCTCTGAACCAATCATTTTTCCTTCTGCCCTCAGAACATTTTTCTGCAAGTAAAATTCCGGTAAACATGTTTTTCTGTGAACTAAGTGTGTTCCTTGCTGTTGCGATGAATTGGGTCATAGTTCCAAAGCTCCACACTTGATTTCTCTTCTGCAGACACCACAAGGCCCAAGAAGACTCACGAGAAGGATGGAGTGGAATACCACTTTGTTTCTAAACAGGCGTTTGATGCAGACGCCCAAAACAACAAGTAAGCTGTTATTTTCCAAATGTTATAATTTCCCCTGGTATGGTTTGATAATGTGTTTTGTAGACACACCAGAAAAAAAACAATAAGCACCTACATTTACAGCACTTATTGGCCATCTTTTCAAAGAAGGATCTATCGGTGAGGCTAACTACTATCTGTTATTCATGTCTTTTTATACCTTTATGGTATCTTTATACCGCAAGGTTAAAGAAAAGAGAGGTGTGATTCTAGGATTTTTTTTATGGTGGGGAGCATAAGAGAGGCCATAATTCACAGAGAGGGGCTAACCTTATCATTAACCAATGATATGTTTCATATCAATGAGTGACAGGGGAGGGGGCGCTCTGGTGGCCAATCAGCTTTGAGATGGGGCTGATTCCCCTGTGGCTCCGCCTCTGTAGACACACCTGAGAAAGGGATAATGCCAGTGCTGAACATCTTCGGCCCTTGATAAAACCACAGGGTGCTCTGTTAGGCTGGGGGGTGCTTTGCTGAATGATATCATGTCGGTCCAGGTTCATTGAGTATGGAGAATACAAGGAGAACCTTTATGGGACCAGCCTGGAGGCCATTCGCTCTGTTCAGGCCAAGAATAAGCTCTGTATCGCGGATGTGCAGCCGGAGGTAAGTGTCCGCCACACAGCAACCAACCCCCACCCCCCCCATTCAGAGTCTGTAGCCGTAGGCCTGCGGCATGGAACACTACTCTCGCACGTAGATATGAAGCTTCTCTTTGCACTTCACCATGCGGTTGCCTGATACTCTGCCTGTTTAAAAATGAGCTAATCATCAGCGCTAAAACCTGAGGACATAATCGCAACTGTTGGCCCGCTCTGTGTTGCATGTGTGTATATGTATAGATGGGGGGGGGTCTTAAATCTGTTATGCCTTAATTTGCTCCCCTGTTCTGTCACTGCACACTGCTGCCTCTGGTGGTGACGGGTAGTGTCAGCAGCACTAACGCTAATGAGCCCGGCCAGCTGCACTGGAGGGAAAACAGCAGAGGTGCTTCAGCCACAGCTTCTTCTCCTCTACTATGTTTCAGACCTTCCTAGCTTTTAAACAGAAATGTATCCCCATGACTTTTTTTCCTGTTTATCCATCGATCACCTTGTGGCCCTATCACCTTTGCTTTTCCTGAGCCTTTATGTCATCGGTGTGACGTCCTCATTGGGTAAATAGCATGGAGACTAACTCCTGCCCCGTGATATTTAACCATTCGCTCTCCCAGCATAATAACAGCTGCGATAATAAATCACACCATTTCTTTCCTGTCCTGAGGCTGACGAGGAACAGGGGACTCTGCGAGATGAATAAGCATGATGGATTCTCCCTTCGCCAGTGTCGGTGCAGACGATTGTAACTGACAAGCAATAAAATTTACATTTAATGACATACGGTACAGTCACCAGATGTTATTCATTGATATAGTTGCAGGCATAACTATGCAAATTAATTGGATTTGTAACTGCGCTGATTGCACACTACTCCCAACTAGTGGTGGTGATTGGTATTACAACTGGACCTCCATGGGTCATTAACCATTCATTCACTATGCCGACAAATATTAAAGTCATGCGTCAGCCCGATGATTTTATAATTTGAGCTCAGTCATAGATTAATGGTGTGCTTCTGAGAGGGAAGAAAAAACAATTTAGTGCCAGCTTATGATGTCTATCATGCCAGTACGGAGTTCACTTCAAATAACCATCTGAGAGACTGATACAACTAAAACGGCCAAAACACTGACGCGCATTAAACAGAAAACACTTCTTGTCTTGGTAGTTCTCTGTTTTCTTTGACCCATAGGCTTTGAAGACCTTGCGCACAGCGGAGTTCAAGCCCTATGTGATCTTTGTAAAGCCCCGTATCCCCGAAAGCCAGCCACGTCACACTTCTGGTACCTCACCAGCAGGGGGCGAGCAATACCGCATCACGGTAAGACTCCCAGGGAAATGCTCAGTGGTTAATGAAACTGTGCTCCAGTCGCATCCGCTAATGCGGTCTCCGCCTTCTCAGGATGAAGACCTGGAGGAGATGCGGCAGTCTGGAGCGCAGATGGACCAACAGTATGGCCACTGGGTTGACCGAGTCCTGGTCAAGGAGGACATGGCCAGTGCATGTGCGGAGCTGCGCGGAATCCTGGAGCGGCTAGAGAGAGAGCCCTCCTGGGTGCCAGTCAGCTGGTTGCGCACTTAACATCTCGCCCAGCTTCAGGCCTCTGGCCCCTGGTACCCTCTCCAGAACCCTTCAGTGCCAGCTGCCTTTTGTCCTCTTCCCTCCTGCCCTCCTTTCTTTGAACTCATCTTCACCGACAGTGGAAAGGACAGGCTAAAAATTCGAACCCTGATGTGGAAGTTGGGAACGGCATGCCAGAACCACAGAGAACTCATCCCTGTGCCCCGGACACTCTACTCCACACATTCTTCGTTTTGCCCTCTACACATTTAAATCCTTTAAAAGTCCCAGCACTTCTGGGTCCACAGAAATCAGTTTTTCGGGGGAGGGGCAGGACCCCAATGTTGACATCATTGATAGACAATGTCACTATGAACCTGCTTATGGTTCCTACATAAATAATTAGGACAGCATGGAACAGCAGGTTTGGATTATAGGACTGACATTTTTTGGACAAAAGACCCATAGGTTCATCATGGTATATTTTTCTTAATTTCGTTATTTATTAACTGGAATGTCAGCTGCATTTAGACTGCTTTTATTCAACTAGAATTGGGAAGCTGCCTTTGACTGCAGCAAGACCCTGATTCGAACCAAGACTGGATATCTTGTTGGTTTGACATGGAAGGCTGAGCGGTCCTTGGAAAATTTCCATAACCTTTAGTGGTAGCTGACAGCCATCTCTGTCTCTGAAGTCCCCATGAACATTTAAAAGAAACTGTTTTAACCACGCGGTGCTTCCATACGTCTTTCCATCACCTTATGGCCACAAGGGGATCCAGTGTGAAATTTGCTGCGCAGTGAAATGCGTTCCAGAGCGAACCCTACAGCAGAAACAAATCCAAAGGCTTCCACTGCAAAAACGATGTGTGGACATTGAAATATATGACAAAATATAATCCATTGTAATTACAAAACAGAAATCACATAACATGAGATGCCTTGAATGCGGTTTACAATATGTTGTCTTATACTGGTCTCTTAATTGTGAAACCGTGGCCTATTGTACTTGGGAAAAAATGAAGGTTAATCTAGTTCAACAAGATAGACGATAATAGCTGCACGAGTATCAGGATGATGCAAATATCAGTTTGTTTGCATTTCAAATACAATTAAACTTTTGGTGAAACCTTGTGGTGATTATGTGTGAAGCTAGTATGTATTTGTGTGATTTATTTACCAATTTAAGTATCCACTAACTGTAATAGTTTGCTGTACCTCTCATTCCAAGTCTGTTGTTACCATGGACACATTCAGATGCATGACACTTTTTGATGGCGTGCTCCTGAATTGTTGCCCATATAAGGTCAACCATTATCATATAAGGCGAGGTACCACAAAATGTTGCGGCAGTTGTAAGATGCGTCTGGTGTATAGTGACAGGTGTTGTGGTCTACGGGGACTCATTCAGTCTGCATCTCTGTGCTACATATTTTTTTGTTTATTTATTTATTTATTTGGCATGAAGATTTATCTGTAATTGTAAAGAGGGGCAGTTGAAACGATGACTTCAAATCCACCAGAAAGTGAAATGACAATGTGTACACAAGAGAAAATGTCTTCATACTCGGTGCTTGTAATTAAGATTAAATCACATAACATGACAGGGTGTAAGGTGAGATGACACCTACGGGAATTTGCATAAAATCGTAACTTTCGTTACAGAACTAAGATTGCTTAAGAATGCAAATTACACAACAAAAGAATTTGGAGAAAAAAAGCATAATTCTGCCATTTATTATCTTTTGGAAAAAACTGATTACTTAGGACTAGAAGGGGATGATTGCACAGATTCGGACTTATAATGTACTTAAGTATTTTTTTAATTTGCTCAAAAATATAAGTGAAAGCCTAAGTGGAAAACATCACTTCATACCATTTGTTTTTGTATAGCTGAGTTAATTTTTTTTTTTAGTTAAAAATCAACTATTACCATACCATACATTTTACATCTGAAAAGTGATTGTACAACAGTCTAGGTACACAATGGTCTTTGGTTAATTTGTATTGGAGAGTTGATTAATTTCGGAATTCTTGGGTCAACTCTGCTCCCACAGCTCGATTTCCGTATTCTTGGGTAGACTCTGCTCCTGTTGCTCGATTTCCATATTCTTTGGTCGACTCTGCTCCTGTTGCTCGAATTCAGTATTCTTGAGTCGACTCTGGTCCTGTTGCTCGATTTCCATATTCTTGGGTCGTCCTTTCTCCCACGGCTTGATTTCCATATTCTTTGGTCGACTCTGCTCCTGTTGCTCGAATTCAGTATTCTTGGGTAGACTCTACTCCCACAGCTTGATTTACATATTCTTAGGTTAACTCTGCTCCCACAGCTCCTCTGTGAACTTGTCTTTCTCCTTTGTCCCTTGCACCAGAATGAGGAATCCTATACTTTTGCATAATCTAGCAGGATGAGGTCAGGTGTGATAATTGAAGGAGAACAAAGGTAAAAGAATGGATTTCTAGAGCTGCTTAACATCAGGTAGTGAAAATGGAAGAAAAGGGCTAATAGGTGGAGAATCTCCCATGTGCTAACATGCCTGAATCTGCCTTTTTGCAGTGCTGTGTGCTGTTTCAGTAGCTTATGGTGAAAAGTGCCACCTATTGGAAGAATTCAATGGTACATGCAATGGGCATGCTCTGTTTCAATTATTATAGGGTAATTACAATATTTAAATTTAAATAATTATACAGTGTAACATCATCCTAGTAGCTCAGCAACTAAGTACAATAGGCATTGAATTACATGCACCAATGAGTCTGTAGTGTTGGACTCTGTTTCACATCATTGCCTCCTGAACAAAGGCTAATGTAAGCTACTGGAATCAGTTTGATTTTTATATTGAAATAGGATCAAATTTATCATGCGGGAACTGATTTGGATGATTTTCACAATGGTCTCTGGGAGGCAAAGGATTCAAGAGTGTCAATCAGAGGAGCTTTGAAGAAGTACACCTCGATGGACATGGAAACTTGCAAAACAATATAGCCATTATGGTGTCATTAAATGGGAGGTTGCCTAGTGATTGAGGGTTTCACAGAGGTCTCAGCTTGTATCCTTTCCTGGGCCCTGCAGCTTTACCCTTGAGCATTGCATTGTAAATATCCATCTACTTAAAAATGTGAAGTGTAAAACCACTTATCATCTAAGCTGCATTAAGATTAAAATGCCTATTATCACTGTCTGGTAATACCAGATCCACTGCATAATCTCTTTGTGTATTATCAGCTTGATTGGACAGAATTGACAGATACATGAAACTCAATATTCAGTCCAGGAGTTGAAGACAGAGTTTGATGTAGCTGCATACACACACACACACACACACACACACACACACACACACTGTATATATGTATCTGTGAGTGTGTGTATGTATATCCTACCAAATCATGTGATCATATGGTCACGTGATCCTGAATCCATACTTGCTGTCCTTTTAGAACACTTGTTATGTATTTGTCATATGAATCAGGATGATTCAGTCATAGCCATTTCAGGGAGAACATGCATCTCGAAATGCTAGTGATGGCCAAAAGGACCCATCATGAACCATTTGCGGTATTTTTCACCACAGTAGATGGCGCTCTTGGCTTGCTTTGAGTTATGCTTTGAGGCCTTTTTTTTAACAGACAGCACCATCTAGTGGGGTCAAAAAATACAACAAATGGTTGGTGAAGCACAGTTTTCGCCATCACTGCTAATACATCTGCATAGTGCGTTTGTGTGTGCTTCACTGCTTCCCAAACCCTAACCCTGTACTGCACAAAAGGTTCACAGATGGATGGTATAGCCTTGTGTATGAGGTGGCACAGGGACTACAACAAAGGGGCCAAGAAGGATGCATAAAATTTAATAAATACTATAAATATCAGACACCTGACTCTCCTAACGGAGAGGAACATAAGCACAGTGTAGAAATAAGGCAGTTTGTTAATGTCACCTTATCATAACTAGGGGCTATAACTAAGATCCAACCCTTCTTCTTAGGTCTCCGTCTTGCCAAAGCCTTCTCTGACAGACCACCGTCTTGGGGCTGAAGTTTGATGGACTTCTGTATCTGAGGGGTCTTCTTCATTCCTGGAGGTCTGTAAAAAAAGTCCACTCAGGCCATAATGGAGCAGTACATGCTTAAGTAACCACAGCTGTTTTGCCCATTTGTGTAAGCAATTTTAATGTAATATAAAGAATACTTTACGTAGATAATGTTTCATTGTCACCAGCAGAGGGTAGCACAGCTCAAAGATAAAATACTTAAATAGGAAGCCTTATTCACAGCAGCCAATCGAATAGTATGGTTTTGTGAACTGGAACACACTTGGTGTGGTGGAGGGGACAGAGAAACAGATTATTTCTTAGAAGCCGAGTTGGAACTATAGGTGGGTCATCTGTGCCCATGACCTCACCATTTGGCCCCGCCCATGTGTGACTCCATATTCACTTGTTAAATACCCTCCTCCCTCCCAAAAAAAGGTTACAGTTCTGACACGCCTCATGTGTGCTTTTCTCTGTCAGTTCCAGCACCAAATGTCTGCCGTCATTCAGCACAATGTGTAAAGAACACATTCTATGCCAATATATACGGCTAATTTACAATATACGTGTAATACGAAGGTGCTCACTCTGTCTGCGATTACTAAGGATTTATGGTGAATGCGAGTACACCCCCACCATCCTTGGTGCAGTAGACTCAAAATGCCAAGGGCGAGCAAGGTGATGCTGTTATACTTCGCGATCGGTCAGCTGATACTGGGCAAAGGTGTGTGTGTGTGTTTCGGGAGGGGGGGGAGCAGAGGTTTGGCACCATTTTCTCCTTTGTCATTGCACGGCTTGCATAGGAGCTCCTTAGACATTGCAGGAAATCTAATTATTCACTTTTTAATTCCCTGGTGCAGATCGAACCACGACTTGCCCTCAGGTCGTTATCAAACTGTTGGGTTCCCATTTAAGAATATGTGGCAAGTTATCATTAGCCGAACCTGGAGGACTGACCGGCCAATCATGTGATAGCGCTTGTGGAGCCGCCTTTGGTGGCCAAAGGTCAAGATATTACATTGTAAATCTATTAATAAGAGCTCAATTCAACAAATGGCAAATTTGTTGTTGTTAGTGGACATGCATCTGTCACGTGTGTTGATGATGCCCTTCAGAATAATCAGATACAGAGCCTGTTTTCATTTGCCTCAATAATTTTCTTAACATCCAGCCTTCAGCATTTCAAAATAATGACAAAGACCAGCCTGACATAGTCGACAAAGCGTAAGGGAATAGCCAAATATGGGTCATAACCATATTGGCAAATGAAATGCTATTCTTAAGATTCAAAGAACTGATTATGTCCTGCAGGCCAGGAAAATACAAAACCTGGCCCCAAGAGCCATTTTTAAAGCCTTGATGCAGTCACACAAAAGATGGTTATGAATAAGAGCCTTTATCACTGGCTGATCCTGAAAGGTCACTGTGTTCTTTACAGTCCCATAAGCACTTGGGGGTCTGAGCCGAGGGTCTTTGTTAGAACGCAGCCAAAGCCCTTGTTCACGCCTTAAAAAAACCATCATCCTCTTCATCCCAGGATTATCAATGCACATCAGGTCTAGAGAGGAAGTATGGCAGGCTGTGGGTCAGTTGCTTTACGTGTTACAGATAATTTTACACTTATGATGACCTCCCAGGGGGAGAGATTTGCAGGAATGCCGAGAACTACAAGGTATGGAAACAAGGCAAGACAACCATAGCTATTATCAAAGTACACCATCTCGATCGTCATGATGCTTTTAGAGGCTCATTCAGCCTTGTGAATACTGGAGAAGGTAATGCAATCTCTAATCCATCAACAGGTTGAGAGTGCGGAGAATTTCTAGCACCCCCTACTGGATGACAGCCTTGTTGCTGATTGACTCTCATTCATATTCTCCTCTTTCTCCTCATACTCCGCCATGTGTTACAAGGAATAGATGTGGAAAGACAGTTTGATATCAGGGTGCTGACAGCAATGTCAGAATGACCAAGAAACTTTACAGAATTTATTTTGCATCATTGGTAGCTATAACAGTGTGATAACAACCATGAAAACACAGCCTGTTTTTTTGGTTTCTTAAACTACAGTCAGGGGTACTCTGCCCTACACTATTCTGTCACTTCGTTACCACCAACAACCTGAAAGAGGGCTGAAGCACTCCTACTTCCAGCATCACTGTGTACAGATCTGGGGCCTCATTTAAAAAGAACGTTCATAAATTTATGCAGAATAAATATGTTTGTACAAATAATCGCCCTTTGTACGGAAAGTAAAAGTCTGATTTATAAATCCTTGCGTAAACTGCGATATGCATCTTACAAGATATACTGTAAATCCCACATATCCCAGAAACATAACATTCACGCACTTAAGAAACCGCCCCATTCCCGCCCACTAATTACCCTATATTGGCAATACAAATTATTATGCTGCATTCCATTTGCCTCGGGATCCGATTTTCGGATTCCGATATTACGTCACATCCGCTAAAAACTCGGGAAAACAGAGTCGGATATGTTCCATTTGCCACAGAAGTAGCAATACCATGGACCCATATGGAAAAAGCAAGATTTTTTGCTTAGCTGGACAACTTGTCGGATTTAAGGTACCTCAGTTTAAATGGCCTTTATCTTCGTTCACTTACAATTAGCCCGAACTACCTTAAATCCGACAAATAATCCGACTAATCATGAAATCCAATTCTAGACCGGTTAATTGGTAGCCATTGTTAGCCATATCACTTGATAACACATTACGCGCGGTGCTTCACGTATAAAATTCGGTGGCAACACGTCCACAGATAAGTTGGATGGTATAGTGTGTGCGACCAATTTGATGAGCCAGAAATGAGAAGTAGTGCTTAAACAGGATAAAACTACAACTTTCCCTTCTGTTGATAAAGGGCGCAGCCATCTTCGATTCTGAACTCGGGATCCTCTGCGTTATCCGAGATATGTCATCACTTCCGGCTTCGAAACTCGGAATCCGAGTTCCGAGGGCAAATGGAATGCACGATTAGCCACGTTTATATAACCGTACACGTCCTACGTTTGTGACACCATATCAGAGACAAACAATCCCCAAGAGGAGGAAAAGGGATTTTATCAGAATGTTCTGTCAGACATTATAGTGTCCGAAGTAGGCTAGAGTAACGCCAAGCCATTTTATCTTTTAGTACATCTGTCGGTGTGACAAGAATGGCAGCGTGTGACTGCTGCTGTTAATGCGGTCAGCTTAAGTCGGACAAAGACAGAAATAAAACAACGGCGGCATCTAAAACCCGCTGAACCTGCGCTCCTCTTCTCTATGTGGTTGGTGAAATGGAGTGATCCCCTTCACATTCGCGAGGGTTATAGTGGCGGAAGATCCACGCCATTGTGAAAATTCGTGAATAATACTTGGGAACCACTAGATTAATTCAAGCCATGACATTCTGCTAGCCTGAGCGATAATATAAAAAGTCTATTTATTACCAATAGCTAAACAAACAGTACTGTACTGTACGCTTTGCATGTCAAATTACTTTATTTTATATCCAAACTTTGTATATTATATATAAACCAACTAAATTATGCACAGCGAATGTGAAGGGTTCACTGTACATGGGGGATGCATACGTGATGGTACCTGTACTTACTTTGTCAGTAGGCCTACATGCATATCTAACTTTGATTACACGCTATAAATACAGTATATTGGTATAGGCCTTTCACCAAGCGTTCTAAATGCAACTTAGAAGTTGAGTGTACATTTCCATCTGACCTCTAGATGTCGTTCTTTTCTGTTTCCTCCAAAACGTACGTACGACTGCTCCGGACCATTCGTAAATCTGCATTTTCAGGGTTTTCTTTATGTCGTTACTTTATAAATCCGAAAATCTTTGTATAAATGTGCTTAGGAATGTTTCAAAACAAATTGTTTGTACGAGGCCTTTATAAATGACACCCTGGTTATTCTAATGCTAAGCCTTCTGGGTATTAGATAAAGGTACTACATAACGCCCAGTACGTATTCTCAGCTCCACCATGACTGCAATAATCTCATTAATGACACCACATACACCCCCCACACTCAATTTCAGATATCATAACCACTTTTATTAATGTCTTCTTTAAAAAAAACACCTCATTTCCATATTTGTGTGAAATCTCACACGGGGGTCTTATCATTGCCCCAGTAAACTTGGCCTGCATAATGAAGTCAGTAACGTGTCTCATCCCTCGTATTAAAGTAGGGGCTACAGTCCTATGAGAAAATATTACAGCACAAATCAATAGCAAATAAAGGTTTTAGGGCTGATCCGGGCCTTTTAAGTCCTAAGTTTTGAAGTGAAACGCCTGCCGAATCTTGAATTTGAGGTTCTCTAAACTGCAGCTTAAGTCGATAAAAACAGTCTTCAAGAGGATGAGTTTGATGTTTCATTCTGAGCTTTGAAGAACTTATTGCATTAAGCTGTTGCACTCAAACGTGTATGGAAATGCATGTGATTAAAATAAAAATCACGTACAACCGACATTACTGTATTCAGAAATTTAAAATTGACAGAATCGTATGAACACTAGAGATTAAGATAAAAGTTCTCCTGTCTCTATTTTGACCCATAGCAGGTGAAACTACAAAGAAACGGAATCAAATAAAGGAGGAATTAAATAAATAGCTTTTCTTCAAAGCAAACAAAATGTCTACGGTAAGGACACGGCCTTATCACCCTGTAACACTATTTTAAATTAGCCTACTGCGATGTAAACAATGTCAGGTATAATCAGGATTAAACAAGTCAATAATGATCTGATTCCATTTAGCATCATTGTAGAATCCCTTCACGGCTTAACGGTGAACTGTGGGTAGTCTTTTTCAATATGGTATAAGATGGAATAAGTGTGATGTTTGAAACGTGCATTTTTTTGACCAAGAGATAGGGGCATATTTCTTTCGTAGTAGTACTGTGTCCGTCCGTCCTTGCATCTGTCCATCTTTCGTAAGCACTAATTCAGCACAGTGCTGCAGTGAACCTGAGGTCAATCCTGCGAATCCAGAGCCGAATCTTGGACAGAATGCAAGGCCATTCACACTCGCAGGTCATTTAGAAAAATGTTTCGGACTACGGGAGAAAAGTTTCATGAATACAAGGAGAGCATGCTGGGGGGGCTGAGGGTGGGAAATCGCATCCACAATGCCGGAGTGAGATGATAATACGACCTGCTGAGTTGATGTACTGCCCCGGTGGTACAATATTTCTGAAGATATTCTTTATACTGTAGGTCAAAAGCCAAGCCGTTTTCACATATCTTTTTTCTATCAGAATGGCACAACATCCTTTAAACGATGTCTACCCTTCCATATAGCATTGTCTGCTAATCAAACCAATGCCAGCAGCGATGTTAATTTGCTGTTTATTGTTACAGCCTGTTGCCTTCCTGTTCCTCCAAATGCAAACCGGCCCAGCTGGAGCAGCTTGCTGCACTTGGCAGTCCGACTGGCGTACAGCTCCGGGGACAGACAGCCTGATGTATGGCTCGGGTGTGCCCCCTGCTGGACGTCCTGGGTATTGCCCGTCTGGGAAGCACAGAAGGACGCCGGCAAGAGTTTGCAGGGGGAGGACAGACTTGACAGCTGGGAAACACAGGGAGGTAAATCTGTTTCAGTGAGAACTGGATCAGAAATACAACATTAACGTTTGTATGCGACAAAAGCTACTGCAAACACAAATTCTTTTTTACGATGCAAATATAATTTTACTTTTATTCATATATGTTTGTATATAAATCATTTTAATAATTATGTAAACTTAAATGTGCCTTTCAGTGTTTCACATTGTTAAGATAAAGTGCTGTATAGTGCTGGCGTAAAAGCAGAATCATTCAATACCCCTGTATTGTTGCATTACAAGAACACGATCTGGCAAAATGCTATTATCGGTTTTCATTGCCTGTTTTCTTATATAGGACACATGATCTTGAAATATAAAAAAAGAAATTCCTGCAGTTGCATCTTAAAACGGATGTGTCTTACATGAATTAACTGGCGCGATGTACTTATAAAGCGGACTAGCAATCAACTAAAAACCGCAATCAGTTACTCACCTTCCTGTAGGCGCGGCTTTTAAGAGAAAATGGGCACTTTTAGAGTCTGGCGTTTTTTGGGGTATGGCGGGAGTCAGATCGCCCTCCTCCTTAGAGATTTAATCAAATTTCATAATAAACAACGGCTGGGATGCACCCATGAGTGACATTTATATTTGCTCGAAACGAGGCTACCTAATACAACCCGATCAGGGAAACTGGGCGTACGGTACCTACACACTTGCTCCGCCAGTCATCTCTCCGGCCGTCTCTTATATCCCGGATTTTTAGTTTTTGGCAATCTGACTCCTGATCGAGGGCTGTTTTTAATAATGCTCTTGCGTGGATGCCAAAGGTCGCTTTCAGGGAGACCATCGATATTGATCTTCTTCCCGTTATTAGCATTTCAAACTTACGGGCAGATGAATTCGTTGTTGTTTGGGCGGGAAAAAAACTTTCATAAATACTTTATTGGTAAGGTAGGCCAAGGCGATGCAGGCCGATCGCTGGCTTGCCGCTGATTTATATACTGTATTTCCAGTCGTACCCCTTTCTTATGAATTATATATTTAAAAACGTAGGCCTATGGGAGATTCTGTATATGTTTAAAATGTCAGCACGAATCGATGCAACATATATCTAGAATATAAATATGTTACACTCTGACCAACATTCAGATGTCAGGTAGGCAGGGCCTCTCTTAGAAGCTATATCTGCCGCAGGGGAAAAGCAGACGTTCTTCCTGACGTGTGATACTTTAGACCTTGTCAGACATGAGCTGTCTTTGAGGCTCCTCGGTTTTTCCCTGTTCAGTCTGGAAAGTGATGGCAGTTTTGCTGCACCGTTGGACTGAAATACATGTTGCCCGTCGAATCTGGCGCAGTGTGTGGTGTATCTGCGAGTGCAGAAAAGATCAGGGCTGTTCTTTGGGATATTTTTCCACCGGAGGAATTTCTTTTTGGCTCTTGGTTTATAAAAGGCATCACACAGCCTCTGCCCCCTGCTCTCTGGAACATTTCTGCAGTGATGGGCTGTTTATGTTATATAAACGTAATTTCATTGTGCCACTAAATGTGTAAATGTCCCGTTGCTTTTAAAATAGATTCAACAGTACTGTATTTGTTGCAATATTTGCATTTGGGCGAGGTTTCTTAAAAGTAAAAAATTAATAACTAGCAAAAAAAAAAAAAAAGAAAGAAAAAAAATGCACATTTGATTAAATTAGAATATGATCAGAAATATGTTCTGGAAATAGGCCTAAATACTGGAAACTTTTTTTTTAACTACATGTTTATGGATTGATTAATACAGAGACTCCCAGGTTTATGATGGGGTTACGTTCCGATAAACCTATCGTAAGGCAAAAATATCATAAGGCAAAAATGTGTTTTAATACAGTACACCTACCCTAACAAACATCATAGCATAGCCTAGCTTAAACATGCTTATAAGACTTACATTAGCCTATACATGGGCAAAATCATTAACACAAAGCCTATTTTGTAATAAAATGTTGAATATCTCATGTAATTGATTGAATAATGTACTGAAAGTGAAAAACATTTACCCAGCGTAAAGTCAAAATATCATAACACGGACCATCATAACCCGGGGAGCGTCCGTATGTGGAAAGTTGTGTTCTCCTAAATTGGAAATCAAAAATGATTTAATAAAGAAGTCTTGGTAAACTTCTGATTTAAGCCGCTACCTATCAGGAGAAAATGAACATTTCGGTTGGCGTGACCGACCTTCAGCATATTCCTGTTAATCATTGTCATAAGTGATGGTGGCCGTGAGATAAAGATCTGTCCAGTATAATGGCTCTTGTAGCTGGTGATCAGCTTTTATCAGCAATTTCAGGGCCGATAGGCTGTTGGCTGTTTCATGCATCAAATTCATTATTGATTGCTAGTAGCTGAGGTATATGTTTAATTTGCTTACAACTTTAGAATTTGTGAATAGAAAATGTCTGACTGACTGTTATATTTAAAGTCATTACTGCTTTGCTGTATCCAACTTAAAGTCTCCAGTTCAAGTCCTATGCTGGCTGTTGCTGTTTATTTAGCTAGTCTGTAGCCAAAGTTTGCTGCAGAAGGCATAGGTATAGATTATTATGGAGCACAGCTGCACATTATTAAGGTACTGGGCATTAGTAATCAGTAATAATGTACCCCTGAACTTTCAACCTCCACGGCAACTTGTTTGTTGACTTTTTTCCTCACAGGTATCCAGGGGGGAGTAATAGAGTGGAAATCGTGCATCTGAGCATTAGGCCCCCATCAAGCAGGAGAGCAGAGGGCGTTTATTGTGAATCTTCAGAAAAATGTTTGCGAAAGCACAAGAAAACTGCACAAATTTCACAATATTCCCCAGGGTTCCGGATCCACCTTGAACAACCCGCTGTTTCATTTGATGCCTGTGCTTTGCTGATAATAATCTCCTGCATAGACGTGGACATTTCTTTGACCAATGGCACGCTCTAAGATAAAGTTTCTTATGCAGATTATTACACACCACATCAGCCTTTTGTGTGTTAATGACAGCTATGTATTGGATTATACCGCCATACCAAGTTGGAGGGGGGAATCATAACAGGCAGCTTCAGACTATAGCTTTAATGGGGGGAGGGTATACAAGTGTATCACATGCAATGGCACGTTAATTAAAATGGTCCGACCTTGTTGGTAGAACCCAGTAAATTAACAGTATCTCCAGCAGAATAAAACAGCCAGGTCTCCCAGTGCTCCGACCACCATTCAGCACCTGATGGATGAGGATGTTCTTCTTTATCTCTTCATACGCTCGTAAAATGTAATGTAATTCAGGGAGATGGTCTCAAATTAAGCCTTTGCATATTCCTGTCGTCTGTCTTGAATTTAATGCAATTCCAAACATTGTCGGGCAATAAAATTCTTTTTTGCAGGAAAGTGAAACATATGAGTGAGGAGAGGTATTGGCGGAGAGGTACTTGTCTTGCTAATTTAACGTTTAAGTTTCGGTGTGATGGGTTGGCCCCCTATCCTGGGTTATTCCCTGCCTTGCACCCCCCCAACCCTACATAGATTAAGCAGGTTTGGAGTACGCATGCAGGGGGGTTGAGTTTCATGTTCATACACTTGCTTAGTTAATGTTAACTAAATAAACCAGAGGATGATCTGCTATTGGGGAGCGCTGTTGCTTCACACCTGCAGGATTGGGGCTCCCAATGCCTGCTCTGTGCGTTGTTGTGGGTAGTTTTGTGTTTGTCCCCCGTTACAATTTGATGTCCATATTGTGAGTGTGTATCTGTCCTGTCATCCAGGGTGTGCCCCAGAATTCACAATGCCTGGTATTGCACTCATCCTTTGCTTTGTTTGAATGTTATTAGCTGTCAAGAATGTAGGCCTCGAGAACGTGCTGGAAAGGATGATGAAGGCTATTTTGAGCTCTGTGGAGCTGGTTCAGGCTTGTGTTTGACTGGTCAGCTCTTGTCCTTTCCCCGTAACCCCATCTGAGAAGTATGTTCAGTGCTGGTCAGTAAGCTGCCCAGAGAGGGGTGTACAGTCAGCGCCTTTTATTGTGGGTTGCTCTGGTTTAAGAAGAGCAGGGTAGAAGGTAAATAATGTGATGATAGTCTCTGGAAGTGACCTGAGGTCTGTGCTGGTAACTCTGTGTGCCTTCGGGTGATTATTAGTGTGCTTTTCATCACGTCAGCGTCCCCTGGCAATAAGCAGTATGATGAACACAGAGCTTCAGAGGGAAGTGCTTCCGATAGCCTCCTCTCAAATAATTTAGATAGCATGTTCTAACAGTCGTGATTCTCTGATCTCTCTAGAAGTGATAAACATCAACCTTCAGTCACGTTTGAGTGGTTTATGGCTCCCCACCAAGCGCTTGCTTCCATCTGCCCTCAGATCCTCCTAGTCTGTCCCTTTTGGCAGGTGCCGGTGTGCTTGTAAAGGCTGCTGAGCTCTTACATAATCTTTCGGACTCTGTTCAGCTGAAGGATAACAAAAACATACTGGAGAATAAAAGTGATCCTCTGTGTAGCCATGAATTTTCTGCACTGTTATGGCCCGAAGTGTTCTTCTTTCAGCAAACCACCAATCCCAAAGACCAGACCAATATCAAGGTCATTTTCCTTTTTTCCTTGGGGAGTTCTGTCCTTCCTAGTCAATGCTTGGCACAGCCTTCCCTGTGGGAAGAAGGTGCTCTGTTTTATGTGCTTATGTTGGTGTGTCATCCAAGATGAGCGTCTCAAACGCTGAAGGCACCCCTAGGGAGTTTCTGGTCCAGGAGCGGCTTTGACACTCCAGTCGACCCCATATTCTAGTACCAGCACTCCTTCTGAGTCACCGCTTATCTGAGTGGGGACAGGAGAGCCAGGGTGTGGGAATGGGCCTAGCGTGACCCCTCCATTAGTGCCGCGTGTCTTCACTGCCACGGTGGGGGGGGGGGGGCTGTGTGAGAGCTTACCTTACGAAGTGCAGCAGAACTGCTGCAGTGTGACCGTGCACTTTCTCGTGACCCGACCCAGCCGTTTGAGCCTCAGCTGCCTGGCAGCAAAGTGATCGTCAGCATTTGTCAAGAGCTACTCAGTCAGATGACGTTGGCTAGGACCTCAAACCGGGTAGTGAAGTCCCTCACTTGACAGCTGCTTCATGCTCTGGCAATAGCTGTATTAAAGAGGTTCTTGAGATCCTGGATGCCTTCCAAGACCCTGTTTCTCAATATCAGGAAGTAGTGGGCTGGTTTCTTAACAGTGTCCATAGGTACGGTGCACCCCTTCTTCATTAGGAGCCGCAGAATTATATGCTCAATTGTGAGACTCTTTGCAGCTCATTAGGGCATTACATATAAATAGTGTCAGTTTTATGCCTCCATAATCACATTTCTATTGTATTTTTTTTTTGCTAGTAAACATATCAAATTACCACAGATGCTGAGCAAGTGTTTACTTTGCGGTGTATCTATTTAGAAACTTTTCATTTCTAAAACGAAAAAAAAACAAAAAAAACACGGAATTTGAAGAAAAAGACTTTGGTATATATGGGGATGTGAACCTCTGGCCAAGCCTTTGCTGGTGTGCATGTGTGAGATGTGAATCTACATGGAGATTTATGCTGTTCGGATCTGGAGAAACGCAGTGCGAATCGCTTATGTATTCCGGGGCCGGAGCAGTGGGATCAGGTCAGTACCGCCTTAATCTCTTTAAGCAGCCGCATGAATCTTATGACCCTGGTTGTCGGAGGCGGGAACATACATCAGCTTACTTAGTAAGCCAAGCAAAGACAGAGAGCCGGGCTGGACTGTAGTTACGAAAACGGCAGGATGGGGCCAAATTAATTGTGAGTTATACGTTTTAAGATGTTTTCCTAAAACGAGGCCTGAATCACGATGAAGATTCTTATCTTCTCGAGGTTCTTAGGCTTAGTCTCAGGACCCGCATTTTTCCTTGGCCATTAAGTAACGAACTAAAAAGGCTTGCCAGCTGGGGAGAGGTGCTTTTGGGTTGCAATCAACTATTTGAAAAACACTGATTTATAGCAGAGTACATTTCCAATGAGGGGGGAGCTTCTATCATCACCAGCAGTGAAGGAGAGGCAGTTATAGGGGAAGCAATATCATTTTCTGAGCCCCGTTCATCCCTTTCAGCTCCTGCAAAGAAATGTGCCCAGTCTGGAACTGGAAGCGGAGTCTGGTAGCCCATTCGCAGGACTCCTGATGAGATTGCTGACGTTCATGGTTTGAATGCTCCACTCTGAGGGTCTCAGATTCTGTTAGCTCGGAGAAATGCGTCAGTTTTGTACAGTCCGATCCTAACTTGTACAATGATGTTCTTAGTAAATTTAGGTAAGGCAAGGTAAGCAGAATGAGCAACAAATTTGGGAAGCAACAACTGGGTTGTTAAATGTGAATAGTGGACAGAAGTGGTAAATGTACAGTACTGTGAAAAAGTCCTATGCAGTCATAGTAAAAAAAAACAGTTTAGCATTAGAAGATATGCCAGTTTACAATAACACAGTAAAACTAACAAAAATTTCTTCTATTCTCCAAGCAGTTACTGATATCTTGTTGGATGGTTATAGATGAACATCGCTTCAGTTCCCAAACCTCTCCTCAGGGGCACCTCGGCCATTCCATGTATTTGTTGAATTTCACCACCAGCTCAATTAACTAATTAACTTAATTAGTTAAATAACTCAATGAAGTATTGATTAGCCAAACATGGTGTACTGGTGGTCAAGTCAAAACTACATGTGTGTATTGGAGGGTTGTAGTAGATACTGAGGTGCCTTTAGGAGAAACTTTGAAATGGCTAAGCTGTTACACTTTGAGAGACAAAATATCATAGTTTTACAGCACTATGAAGCTCATTTAAGCATCACTTCATTTGACTGCCTAAGACCATTGCACATCAAATCTTGTTTTTACATTATTACAGAGAAAATATTTCTCGAGCTGTAACAGTTAAATTACAGGAGAAAATGTGAACACACAGCAAATAGAAACTGAACGCAAAATGAATTGAAATTGAATGGAACGATTTTTTTTTGTATTGGTGTTTTACCAAAGGCTTGCACTGGATTTCTTGGTTAAGTACACTACCTGTGGGTGTCCTTGACAGAATCCTGGGGCGACGGAGAATTGTAAATGTCTCTGAATGCAGAAGGCAACATATTCTTTAAAAAAAGGAAAACCCTGAAATTCTGAATAGGTGAAAAGCCAAAAATATATTTACTGGGGGTTGGGGGTGGGGGTAACTCAAGGGGGCTCCTGGATCCTTCATCAAAACCAGAAACTAGAAATGCTGAGAAAGCAGCTGCTGCGATAACATAAAAAGGAATGACGCTGTTTAAACACAAAAGGCACGTCCTTAACGCTACCCCAGCGGCCTCCTTAGCGCTGACTTAACACTGTTCTTTCAGTTTAAATTTAGAGCCTTTAAATGGTGCCATTTTGTGTCACAGCTCCTCCGAAAACTCACTCGCTTAATTCAGTTAGTTATCTCGCACACACTTTCACAGGAAATGTACATCGCCATGTACTGGTAAATTGAGATATATTTTTTTCAATTGTGCTAAGCTCATTATGACACTGGGCAAGCGATACACTATGTACAGAACAGAAATGTGCAGTAAAATTGTGGGGGTGTGCTGGTTATTATGTTCACAGCTATTTAGCTGTTAGCTTTAGTGGGCGCCTTTTGCTATTTAATGTGAAGTGAGGCAAACTACATTATAACGTGCAGATTCATAATGAAAGATAAGGAACGCACTCTTAAATCGTCTTATCTGTTTCACTTGTCTTTTCACAGAAACACATTAAATAGCAAAAGGCGCTCTTTTGAATGGTTATAGCAATTCCCAAAAATAAAATAGGTATTGACATCCTCCACCCTTCACTGTAAATATTCTACCAATTGAGATACAGTACTCACAAAAAGTCTTGGGACATTTATTTAATTCAGCCAACAATATTGCAAATTTATTGGTTTTATAACAAAAATCATCCCTTTATCCATTTGTTTACAATAAAATGATATATCACATTAGAATCAATCAGTAGTTTGAAGCAAAACATTCACTTCAAATAGTAATAAATTGAAACCCAAATTATAGTTTGAGACCCGAACTATATAATTCCTACAGTTCTGAGTTAAAAAGTTCATTGAAAAGCGGTCTCACTGGGTTCTTTTTAATTAGTAAAACCTCTGCAATAACATAAAACACCAAACATTTGTATTTAATATCCCTTTGGGAACCAGTGACTACAACTACAATTAATAGCAAAATGGGAATAAGAGAACTGAATGGGCCAGTCAAAAGTATTATAACGAGACTTAATAAAAAGAAAATGTCTGTGTGCAGATATGTGTTATGAGGCTTAGTGCTAGTGGTAGGTTTAAGGTTGGCGTTGACACCCCTCCCACACCTGTTTTACTGTATACGTCTTACCAGTTGAGCCATATTTTGGTGACTGAACATTTCTCAAGTCTGTGTCAAAGACAAACATTGCTTGCAATGGACATTTGTTATGAAACCATTCAATTTGCAACATTTTTACAGAATTAAGTGTCCAAAGATTTTCTGTGAGCACTGTATATGCCTAGGTTTAGTGTTAGGCATAGGGTTAGACCTCCACTTAGTCAGCTTTAGACTTTGACTTAGACTTAGATGTTGGGGCTACATTTAGACTTTGACTTAGACGCAGAGTTAGACCGAAGTCTATATCCAAACCTAGGCTTAGGGTTAGAGCTAGGGTTAGGGTTGCCATCAAGTTTGGAGCTAGATTTTGGCTTAGGGTTTCCATTAAGATTAGACCTAGGATTAGAATTGCTATTATGCTTAGTGCTAGTGTTAGATTTAGGGTTGGTATTGATACCCCCATACCTGTTGTTGTGTAAGTGTGTTACGAATTGAGCCATATTTTGGTGATCGAACATTTTTCAGGTCTGTGTTGAAGAGAAATCTATGTAAATGGAGAATGTGATGGTTGCGAATAGTATGGTAGCATTTACATCCCCAGCATTTAAGATATGTTACCGCCAAATCTGGACACGAGATAACCAGGAGGTTGCATTAGATGCCGTATTTAGTGACCATTGTTAACCTAATGATCCACTATGTCACTGTATTTTTCGTTCCTCCAATGCCTAAACACATTTGTAGCCTTAACTGAACTTTTCACAATCCCTTGCTTGAACAGCAGGTAGCTGACCTGATTGTGGTAGCCGACTAATATTGAGGCAAAAACGTATCTTTTTTTTTTTTCACGGTACACCGTTTAATAACAAACTCCTCGACATTCAAAACAATTCAGAGTTTTGCAATGACACGCCACATAAAATTTACTACTTTCAGAATAATTTGCCTTCCACAGTGTAGCTATCCATGGCCTCTGCCATAATTGTTGTAATGAGTTTCCCGTTGGTAAATACGACTTTATAGCGGTGTTCACGTGCTCTCATCTCGTATTTACGATTTTTCCAACATGACTTGAAGGCAGGGATATCTGCACCTACCACTTTAACAAATAAAAATTGCACCCGATTCTTTTACCCTATTGGTTATATGGCATTATTGTTGATGCTTGAAAATTTTAATTGCCGGTAACAATCCGAGAAGTCCGTGCAAATATGAGTGCTGTACAGTACATGACAATGGAAAGACACACAAGAACTACTTGATATGTGCATTTATTAACATGTTTGTACAGTGAGAAAACACTGACAGAGAGAAACAGTCCAATTACTGATCTGGAGCGGCAGCGATCACGCTGAGAAGGATACGAGGGCGAGATGTGGGTGCAGTGCCCGGATCTATCCAGTTTTCTTCTTAAATAACATGACAGCGTCAACAGTAAAGAATCCCCATCACATTGCTTGGCCACAGCAGCAGGTAAGTTACAGGGAAATATATTTATTAGATTGTTTACACTCTCAAAAGTTAATTGGCTAGTTACACCAACCATAAGGAACATGAAATTGGAACGGCTATGTAGCGTTTTACAGTTTCCTCCATAAATTGTCAGCCAATAGGCATGCGGGCATCCTAATGACACGAACGGTTGTTACACGACATAGTTCCATCAACGACTTGCTAATCGCAAGGCCATGAAAACGCAGACTTATAATGTTCAGGCGATGAGTTGGGGGACTATTTGTCATACACATGAGCATAATCCTGATAAGATGAAGGTCTGATATCTGGTTTTAATGAACTTAGATGAGGTGCTGAAACAGAGGAGATCATTAATTTTACATTGAGTTTAGCCTCTAGATGTTAGCCTGATATTAAGCTATGAATCATCGTTATCGTTACCAAACATTTCGAGTGTCTTCGGTATAGTTTAATGGTGCAGTCTTATAGTAAATGGAAAAGGAATCAATCCCGGAAATTCTAGCGTATTGAATTTTCCTGCTCCTGGTGCCAGCTTCTGACTAAAAAAAGATGTACCTTTTTTTTTATATAACACTTATAACTGGTGAGGGCGTTGACACCATCTCCTTCTACAGTTTTGTGGTTCTGCTTCAACAGTGACTCACCTTCGGTCTGCCCAGTGACCTAGATGCAAACATTATGGATGGTCCACACCAACGTAGTCAAAGTCTGCTCTCCCATGTACATGTACTGCATCGATAGTACATATAAGTGGGAAATAACAAAACTTGCCATCAAACAATCTTCCCCCCACTCACAGGAACAAAGTAATTAACTATAAGGTAAGCTTTCACTTGTTGGCTAGCTAAAATGAGCTAGGATGACGATATCTTGCTTTGCAAAACAGGACAGTGTGGACAGAACGCAAAGAGAGGCAACGCAAATACACATACAGCATTCTGACTGTAGAAAGCAAATGTCAGCATGAAAGAAAGTAAAATCTGGACATTTCAGGCATATTTCTGTCCCCAAAAAGAGAACAAGTATGGGAAAAAGACGATGTACAGTCACTCTGAATTAGCTAGCTGATCGCATTTGTTGACCCTTCACCTAGCTACTGTTGGCTGCCTAGAGCCATGCCTCTGGTTTGGTTTTTTAATATAATAATTTTTTCGTTAAGCTAATAATCAGCAGGAAGAGAAAATCTACAATAACCGTTCTTAGTATTCTGTGTATTACTCCTGATATTTATCTTTGATGGAGAAATGGAAATATTGCACATTTGCTGTTCGATCAAACTAATTTGTGGGGCCTATATGATACGGAAAACGTTGTTATTTGTATTGCCTTAAATTTTTGTCAGGATCTTACTGTTGACTGCCTGTTTTCACTGATTATATAAGACCACCGTTTTAATAGGCGTAAAAACAAACCAATGTGTTTTCATTTACACTTTGTAAAGTCAGGGTTCCTTAATCCCAGGATTGGGGACTGCATCTGCATGCCGACCTCTCCACCAAGCAAGCGCAAAGTACCGAATGGCAGCTTGGTGTGTGTTTTCGCAATCCACGTTAGTCCTCGTTTCACAACAGTTCACCATTGTTGCAATGTCAAACAGCGAAAGACAACACAAAAGTGAGGTTGCCTTATAACTACTCAGATAGAAGCACGATGAAGACATTTTTATGTCAGGTTGAAGGAAGAATAAACGGGATGCAATAAATGGAAATTTCCAGAAATATAAGTCATTAGTACGCAGAGGATGTAAGAATGTGCTGGAACAAAATGGACATGCTACTGCCTTTTTGGTGATTAGCTCGTGTGGGAGCTTATGTATGTTTAGTTGTGCAGCTTGGAGAGGGAGGTGGTTATTAAAAGCTGAACTACAGCCTCTGGTGTGTAGGTGCCATTCAAAGGAAGTTGTTACCCCACTGCCCAACGCTGACCTCTGTTGTTGCTGCTTGTTCACACTCACTCTACCTCCACACCCTTGTGGTTCCATCCGGCGTTCCTTCAGCTGCGGATCTTATGGTGGCACGGATGCGGCCGACGGTCAACGAAACTCCGTGACTAGAAATGAGTGTAACTCCCGGACGACACACGAAGCTCACGGCACACGCCATTTAATTAACACGGAAAGCTGTTTATGATGGTATATTGACAGACTGCTGCCTTCCCAACTGCAGACCCACCTGCTTGGCAAGATGGCCTCAAAAGCCTAGCATACCTCACTTGGGTCGCTATATTGTCATGGGGGGGGGGGAGACAGTGCAAGATAAGCAACACAAGAGTCATGGCATCAGTAAAAACAGTATCCAAACAACAGACATGCATGTCGGACAGTTTACGATGTACATCTGGCAGTAGGCTGTGAACTGTGTTGAACGGCACAGGTGACTCGTATACACAAAAACGTCTGTACAGGTTGTGTCCCTCCCTCCCCCCTCCATCCCGTTTTTGGTAGTGTCCAGGATGAGTCACAGTCGGGGGGGAATGAGCGGAGGAGCAGAATGTTCCCTTCGCTCCATCACCAGCGGGGCAGCAGACTGGAGGAGACAAGTCCCCAGTCCCCATTTGTGCTGAACGTCGAAAAGGGACACACAAAAAAATAATAAATTTGGCACCAACTCGGTCCCCAAGTCTGTCGTGCCTCCTGTATGCCATTGTGTCTGTTCAGTGCCTGGCATGCGTGCCCTGCTGCTCCCCGTCTCCAGGGTAACGGGGCCAAAGCTGAGGAGTCGAGACACGGCCCTTAACGCTGTTAACAGGCGATCTCCTCCAGTGTCCCCAGTGTGGTCTGCAGCGGCACGCTGACTGTGTGGCTGATTGCTTCCGAATGGTTCACCATAGGGTCACAAGTGCTCTGGTGCATAAAGACAAACAGATTTGCCAATCAGTCCAATCTGAATTCCAGAATTCTAATTTTTTTAAAAGAATGGCATGTTTTTATCTTACCACATCCTCGCCCCGGCTGCCTTCCTCTTCCTCCCGGCTCAACATGTCCAACAGTCTGTCCTTTATTACCTGACGGCAAAGAACAGAGCAGGTCATGACTTTTACGAGCAGTTGGAGGGACGCAATCACATGACCGTACTTGATTATGATACCATAGCAAAACTAACCACTATTTCAGGGTTCTTCAAATCTGGAGCTCGATTCCAAATCCAGGCCTTGTTTTCAGTTCTTCCAGGTAGTTACTTTAATAATTACTGATTCTGATTGGTCAGAGGCTTCACACCTGACTGACAGGTAAAGGAAGGCTGGAAAACCAGCAGGGCTCGGACCTCGAGGACCGTGATTTGAATAACCCTGCACCATATTGACGATATATATTGAAATTCTTTCTAGGCATATTTTGTTTTGCTGCCTCACTATAAACTCACCCCATTCTTAAATCATTGGTATGATTGTAAACTTAGTTTTGAAAGTCGTGGATACAGCACCCACACTTGAAGTTTCAGTCAAGGGGAACCTTTAAACTCTGAGCCTATATTATTAAAAATGAAAAAGGTTTCTTTCATAGCCCTTCTTTGCATTTCTGGTGCATTGGAGGCAATGATTCCTCAGTGTATGTTTGAAGTCCGAGCAGGAGCAGGAGTAGGGTGCACCCCCCCCCCCCCCAGGGGAAAACTGATATCCTTGCTCCCTTCCACTCCTTCATCTGACAGTCTGTTTTATTCCCCATATCGCCGAGCTGATTTCTGACCTCGTACGCGTAGTCAAAGAGCTCCAGGATGGTGAGGATGCTTGCGCCGATGAACAGTCCCATCTGTCCCCCGATGTCACCTGACAAGACACCATTAACCAGCACATCACCTCACTGTCACCAGAAACAAAAATATCCAAACTTGCCTCTAGGGGGCGTGGCCCCTGGTATGCCTCTCCCCTGTCACTCACCGATTTAAAACATACCATTGGCTAATGATAAGGTTGGCCCCTCTGTAAGAATTATGGCTGTTCTTATGCCTGTTCCACTTTAAAAAAGTCCTACAATTGCCCCCCCCCCTTCTTACCGAGCAAGCTGGCAACTTCGTAGGCCTTTTTCTGCTCTATGGTCTCATAGTTCAAGGCCTCGAAAAACACATCCAGGACCAGGATGTTGTCCCTGAAGAGGGAGGAAGTACAGGGGGAACATGTTACAAGGTATTTTACACAGAAGGTGGTGCACGTTAAAGGGCTTGGTAGGCGCCTGGGCAAACAGCCAATCGCTCATGGTGGCAGTGAGTGTTACGCTGCCAGATGTCTCACTGAAACACTGGAGCCCAGTGAGCTGCAGCTGCAACATCAGCTTCTTATGTCAAAAAGGATGTTTTATAGTAGGAGTGCAGGTGTGTACAATAATTATACTTACGGCCAAAAAAAATCCAGCTAAGGGCACTCGAACCACAAGTACCTTTTTGTTCCGGCATGTTTTCGATGATCTCAAATACATATTTCATTGATTGTCACAGTTACTTTTAAGACCATCAGCAGTGAATCGATACCATCATACTTCATAAAGGGAGGGGGCTCAGCAATTTAGGCCTCTGTGCTTGTGATCAGAAGGTCATCGGTTCAAGTCCAGTCCTTGGCAGAATAGTCTTATCGCTGTCCGGCCCTTGAGCAAGGCCCTTAGAGAAGCATTTCTGGTTACTTGTGCACATGGCAAATAAAACATTACTTCATTTCGTGAGAGTCGACCCAGGAATTAGACGGTCTTAGAGAAGGACAGGTTAAAATCAGATTAAAGGTCTCTGTAGTCTGGAGCAAAGGAGTCTGTGGTGGTATTATGGGGGACATCCAAGTATGCATCATAAAGAGAATGAACAATGTTGGCCACGATAGCTACTGCATGGCTAATGGGGATTTGAGAACCAGACAAGTAGATGTACAATGAGATCCATGCTATTGTATTGTGGAGTCCATACATTAAGTCACAGCTAAATACATTTCTGCCTTAATAGCCTCTCTTGTGCAATAATTCATGCATTTTCACGTCCAATAAAATCGCCAAAGTCAGATCTGAAGTAACTCCAGAGCCCATCAAATGAGACTAAACTGCAATTTGCCCAGTATTTAAAAATCAATACTGGTCTATGTATATTAAAATAGGAGACGCTTACATCTGGACAGGGCAACAGGTCTGAGAGAGAGATAGCACAGTGCTTTGGGACTCCCTCACTAAATGAGGGAGACAGGCTGATTAAAAGGTGGAGAACTTCTGTCAGCCGATCTGATCGGTCTGCCGGCATGCAGGAAATCAATTATCCAGAGCTATCAGTAGTCCATTTCCTTCCCTGTTAGAATGCACACGCGCAGAACCTCGTTTTAGCAGTACGGCGATATGACGTTAGTAGTGACGTTGTGCCACTGGCGCTCCCGACAATTCTGCACGTGCAAAATAATTATCCGAAGAGAAACAATGACACTTCTGCACAGGCAAATGAAGCCCATTTATCATTAAAAAAAAATAAAAATAGAACAATTTATGAAGCATTTCTGCGAAACCGCACCACCGTAATTTACAATTCAGCTGTTAAGCGCATTTGGATAAGGATCGGAAATAATTCCTTTATTAAACGTCCACACCTTGCTAACAAAATGGTCAAGAAATTATTAGGAAGTCAGACATAACTCGGATTATTAATTTCTTATTATAGGATTAATTTTGATCATGTCAATAAAGGAAAAAGTGAAATTCTAGCTAATCATTTTTTGACAGTATACAGCAATATATTACAATGGACCCATGAATGGAAATTATACTTCATACAGAATAATGATCTTAATTATTATTAATTAAACAATCAATATTCCGTTTAGCTGTAGACATGCGGAAGCGGCGGTACTCACGCGATGTACTTCTCGGACTTGTTGAAGCGCTTCTCCAGGTACCTGGCCGATGTCTTGCTGGGGATCTTCACCATGGACAGCTCCTTGTTGTACCGGGTCAAGTTGCAGGGGGTTCGACAGATGCAGTTGGTGCTCTCCTTCTCGGAGAGGGTCGCTGAGAAGTGTCCAAGCGAATGAGGAATTAGGGCAGGAAAAGGGAAAGATCTGGAGATCATCCCCCCCCTTATACACTAGTGATTTCCATTGGAAAAAAACAAACAAAAAAAAACGTTTCTTAAAAGTGTCGACGGCTGCTACAAGGTTTTCTATACTTTCACCCAGTCGGTTTTGGTTAACTTTGGCAACTTCCCCTTGCAGATACTATACATTTATGATGTCCCTCCAACTAAAATGCACATCCATTTTAATCGCCTTTATTGCCTACGATAATAAAAAAAATAAATAATGAAGACTAAGCCGATAATGGAACGTTTCCCATTGTATCCGATATGGTGGCATTTGTAATACTGTAAAACCGATCGGAAAATTACTGTATTTCAATACTGGGAAAAACATGCTAAAATATGCTAATTGATCAGATAAAACTAGATCCCTCTGTTAAAGGTAGCTTTAAAATAAGGTGAGGTATGATTGATCATTCCCAGGACAGCATTAGCGTCTGAAAAGCTCACATTACCCACCCCTCCCTCCTTTGCAAATCCATCAGATATTCGACACAGATAAATCCGCCTAATTTGCTGATAGCTAGTCTGCTTCCCCATGGGCCGTTTATCGCTGGATGACTCCCCGCTGGAACGATCTGACATTAGACCTGAAGTGACCTCTCCGTATCACAAGCGTCTACTTCCTCACGGTGTTTCTTCTAACAAGAGATGGCGATTTATATCTCTGCATAAGCCTATCAGAGGCGTGTTTGCTCTTTCGGTTTCCCTTATCTCACTTATTAGATATTCTGGTATCAGGAGAGGGAAATGGCTATTTTTTTAAGATTGTGAAGCACCTTTTCCCATTGTTTACAGTTAGTTGACCAACTAGGCGCCAAAAAATTCAGACTCCCATTTGTCAGAACAGTAATTGGTTTTGCTTCTGTTCACAAAATAATGTCTTATAAATTGACTGAAATTTGGCATCGTCATAGCAACCATCACTATGGTAATCCTCATGTAGTTTTTCAGAGTATCAAATCATTCAAATGTTGATTCAGGCTATCAAAATCTCAAAAACAGCATGCAGGACATAGTTAAAATGGTGTTTTGGTAATTCTGGCATTGTGTCTAGGATGTCCCCTGACTTGTGTCCTATGCTGGCTAGGTTAGGCTCCAAACCCCCCCAAGATGAATCCATGTTTGGCTAATAAAAACCAGAGGCAAGAGACAGGCTGAATGCTTAAGAAGATTACTTTAACTTCTTAACTAGTTTGTAAACGATATACCTTACGGCAGTGAGGTCATAAAATGCTGTCATTATTCAAACAGGACCACACACTGAGGGGATTTTCAGCTGCTTCTGGATGATATAACATAACTCTGGTAGACTTCAGGGTTTTGAGACTCTCCCTACTGTTAGCTCCCATGAAGAAGTGCATGAGAACTCATCTCTGCAGTGGCATCCTTCCAGTATATGCAAAACTGCCTGCTGATAAACAGTAATTGCCTTGTCCTTGCTATCCCCCACGGTGCTCGTCTGCTACGGCCGAAGCTACATTAGTTCTCGAGACCGACATTTGGCTGATGATGGAAGGTTGACACTGTCGCTGAAAGATTTTTTTTGTTCCATAGGGGGACTGAGGATGATAAACCAGCATATAAATCGACAAGGCCAGGATCGTAGAACTGAGGGGGAAATGAAAAAACAGCCAAAACAGAAACCATTCGGTTATTACTGATGGTATCTGTCCACAGAAATAAATTTGAGGACTGTGAATGTCTCTACATTGCAAAATATTCAATTTTCAATTTTGAAAGTCAGATTGTCCGCCTTCTGCAAAGACTTACTGTGCTTTGATCCCAGATTGACTCTCTTGGGGCGTTTCCTGAATCTGTTGGGTATTCGAATTTTGGTGCCCCTGGTTGTTAAACGATAATCCTGCTCCTGTGAGGGGCAGGGAACGGCACTGCCAGCTGTAACAAACTCACAGCGCCTTTCACTGCACTCCAGTTCGCAATCAGTGGGGAGGCAGATAATCATTATCCGCAGGCAGCCAAATGCATTTTTAGCCAATTTTGATGCAAAAAAATCAATTTAAACAGCTGGATATATTAAGGATAGGCGTTTTGCCAAAGGATATCTAAGCAAAACCCTTCCTTAGACCTCAGCCAGCTATCTCTGGGTTACGAATCCCGTCCTTAAACACTACATTACCCACCTCCGGTATCTGGCACACTTCGGAGAGCGCTTCGCTTCATTGTACGGCTTAATCGATTCATTCGCCTGCAGGCTAGCGATATTTGAGCATAACCAGTACAAGAAATGCATTGTGAAATTTCCATAGCTACATAGCTGCCAGATGCATCGAGGCTTTACGAAGACCCAAAGCAAACCAGCAGTGAGTTAAACGAGGACCATGCCTGTTTGGAGGTGCTCCGTCAAAACCACACTCTGTTGTCGGGGGGGGGGGGGGGGAGCCACTGCAAGATTTGCCCAGCGGGGGCCTAAATCCACATGCTAATTTGACAACGAGGAGGACTTATAGCTGCAGCCCAAGGGAAGCCGTTTGGAATAAAGGACATGGATGCAAATAAACGCTCTGATCCCAGTCTAATCTGACTTTCATGAGCATCCAGGAAGCTTTAAGGCAGAAGAACCGGCCAGCCTTAACAACACGGTAATGAATACAGAATAGAGAAGCCGCACTCACTTGACCATAAATTGTTAATGTCCACGTTAGGCCGCCTGCGATGGGCAGAAAGGTGGAAAAACAAAAATCCACAAGGGACAAAATAAGTCATGGGGGAACGGCTGTTTCTCATGCATGGACTGCGGCAGGCCGTCCGCTGGGAGGGAGTGTCAGCAACACATGTTTTTTGAATTCCTGTCTCCGGGAGAGGCTGGGCGATGCATGTGGAATGGTAAATAATAACAGAGTCAACAGCCAATCAGCCGGGATGTGGGCGGGACAATGATGGCGCATGGGAGGTCACAGGCTGTCGATGGAGTTTTTCTTTAGTATATATTGAATCGGGAAATGCAAGGAATTTGGTCTGTATCCAAAATTCCATGCATCCCCTGCTGGATGGAATCATTCATTTTCTTTCTTTCTTTTGCCAAATCGATGTTGGGTGAGTTTCATAGTATAATCGACGCATCTGCAACTCGTTTACAATATTGCATCCAAAATGTATTTCCCTGGCCAGCTGGCTAATTATGCCAAAGATTGTTCTGATGCAGCTCCAAGATGCTTGATAAAAAATATATTAAGCTGTTGGAGGGACCTCATACACCGCATGATTCTTTCAATGAAAGCAATTTCAGGTTTCGGGACCAGCGCACAGCCGTGGCTACCTGCAGATGTGCAGTTACTATGGATTCTGTGAGCTGTAGATATGCCAGTGCCTAAGGGGGTAAGCAGTGAGAGCCAGTGAGAAAAGCCAGTGAGAAAAACTCGTACACGCAAACACAAAGAGGCGAGACGTCTCTGGCCTGTTATCTGCCCGTTTGACTGAAACCAGTGACGGTGGACCTTGTGCCGGTGGCTGGACTCACCCAGTGCTGGCTCCGCACATTCCTTGTACTGCTCGGGAGTGCAGAATGGAGAATCTCCTGTAGATAGAAGATGACGGTTTGAAAGTTTCCACCTGGTACGCCTAGTGGGGGGTGGGGGGAGGGGCGCTGACTGGTATCACACTGGGCCTTACAACATGGAGACTTCAGAGTCAGCTACGTCTGCTGAATCCGAGTGCAGTGTTAGGGGTGGAGGGAGAAGTGTATTATGGGAGGTATTCTTCACGTTGACTTTGTGTGGCCCAATGGCGCCAAGTAGCAGGAGATTACCAGCAGATTACAGCTCATCTCTCAGATGGGTAGCACAGAGTTATAAGCATTTGCTCAGAATCACCTGCAAAGACTATGTGTATTTTAGTCATTTTTTCATGATATTCAGCATTGGAAGTAAAACTTAATAAAGCTGTGTTTATTAGGACAGAAAACAAACTTTCTACTTCCTGAAGCAAGACAAAAGTGTTCCTACAGAGTTTTTTTGGGGGACTGAAACCCAAAAGAGTCTGTTGTTTCACATAGCTCACATCTACACTGTATCTTAAACTGTCCAGCCTCCTGGCAAGCTAATTAATAGACTGGCCAGTTTGAGGCACGATTCCACAATGTGACTCCATCCTGACTGCTATACTGACAATATATCTCTCTTTCTCCTTCAGTGGAGATCTGACATTTCACCTCACAGAAACCATGTAGGCCGACAACAGCAAGTTAAGCATTTAGCCAGTGGATCTGTGCAGTGTTCTGTGATACTACGGCCCATTAAAAACACTATGATGTCACCTGTTCCACATTTCAAGCATTAATCACAGACGGGCCCAATTACAGTGAAGGCTTCCTAATCAGACTAAAGTACTCAAATGCACCATTCTTCCTGCTAAACAAGGGGCAGTAGGCGAGTGGAAATGGTAAAAATAACCTCCAAGCTAACCTGTTTAGTATCGATCGAGCATGAATTGATCGTGCCTCTCAGGAGCAAGACTAACGCCCAGCGAGATTTCCTTAATAATAATGATGGCGAGTGGCTGAAAGCCACGTCATTAAACTTTAATCACATTGCTTGTTAATTGCAGTCATTAAGACAAAACCCCATCGGCCTCTCCAGCGCTGCCGTGGTAACGGGGAGCATCGCTATGGAATCATGCGTCTGGGATTTTCATTTTTTTCCCCAACACACTGCAAAGTTAATTTGCTTAATCCCACAATTATTCATCCGTCCCGTCACACGCCTATGAAAGAGAGACCAGAAAAAGGGAGATTAATAGGACCAAAAACCATACTCAACTGTACCAATGAAATGTGGAAAACAGGCCATTCGTTTTAATTCCCCACCCGCTGTTACTAATAAATGCACTTCATCACTAATAACTATGAGCAGTAAAATGGTTATTTGAATGGTACGTAACTTAGGTGACATGGCCTTACTGTGGGAAGGATACGGTCATGTGACTTCTGATTAGCTGTTCACTGAAGTCGCTACATTTGAAAACAACAGGTAATTTGTTACACTTATTCTATTCAAAGTAGGAATATACAGTTTTGGTTATCCACGAGTTGGAATAAACAATTAAATGGCAGTATTTTTGAAGCCAAAAGACACATAAGCCAAAAACAATACTAAAAGTGATTTCAATTACATTACATCATATAATATATAAATATTACTGATACGTGATATTTGTTAGTGTAAATGCATACTATATCATTGATATTAAAAGTCTTGGTTTGGGTACACTGTGCACCTTTGTCTCTGCAGTCAGCCTCACTCCTGTGTCAGCTGTCTTTGTGACCGTGGAATCTTACATTTTTCGTAGTAACTTTAAAACTTTTCAGCGTAGGTAATTTTGCATTTTTAATAATGGGTCCAAAATGTAGTGTGTACAGTGTACATAGAGGGGTGTAATTTAGATGGTTTATATATAATAAAAAAAGGTCTTGATAGGAAAATGACAGTGATTTGACATGCAAAGTCTACAGTACAGTTCTGTTTGTTTAGAGATTGGTAATAAATAGACAGTTTGCCCAAGTCTTGTTCATGAATTTTCACATGGATCTTGTACGTCTAACCATTGTGGAAGTGGAGGGGTTACTGTACACTAATGGAAGCAGCAATATCTATCCATATAATAACTCCCTTTAGACCCATAATTGAATTAATTTCATTTTCTGTTACTTGTCTACCTTTGGGGGATTTTCTTCTATTTTGTGGGGGATTTTTTCCCCCAGAAATCGTTCAGAATAGGCTTCACAATACCTGCACGTATTTATTAATAGTGTGGTCCGTTCTTCTGGAAGGATGCAAGTGGAATGAAAGGGACGGTCACAGAGAGGGAGGTGAATAACTGAGCCGTGCAGAAGATGAGATGATGCAGAGATGTCACAGAGAAATGACAATGGCAGCTGTCCCTCATAATGCACGTGGGGTCGAAGGTCACCCCGGACCCAAGGTCAGCGACTGAAATGCGGGGGAGGGGGGGTGGGGTGCAAAGTTTTTCATTGGCCCTGTTTAGGAAGGACAACAGCACATTAGTATATAACGAGAAAAATGGTAAAAGAGGGGGGAAATGATGAAAATGAAAATGGTGGGAAGAGAGATGGGGGCCACATGAGAATCGAGGGGGAGTGGCTTACCAGGCATATGCACCATCTTGCAGTTGCAGTTCTCCACAATGTAGCGCGTCTCGCAGTCGATGCGACAGGCCGTCACACTGTACACCGGGAAGAAGCCCGACTCCGGGGGCCTTGACCGGCATTCGCCCCATGGTGGGGGCAGGTAAGACAACTGCAAGGACACACGGTCGCAGGTGTTGGGTCTCTGCAATATGGGACGATCCCATAATATACGGAACGCGGGGCAGCTCTATGTACATAGACTTCGGGGTCCCCAACAGCCCCACAGTAAATTTTGCCAACCAGAGGGTCTCCCTGTCACAACTTTTGCCAACCGATGTTTACAGATATAAGGTAGTGGCCAAAATTGTGGAAACGCTTCCTCGCTTTTAGATATTTCAGAACTTTATTCCAGTTACTCAAGTTATTTATTTAATCATCCAATGTCTGTTATGTGTAACTTTCTTTGATTGTTAGAAACATTACTACCGATATTCGTTTAGTAATTTTTTTAAGTATAATGCAAAAAATGCTGGGTGTTTTCACAATTTTGCCTACTGGTATAGATGCTAACTTGGCGGAGATACATTTCTCTGGCCCACGTACCCATCGGCTAACCAGGAAGATGCCCAGTATGCCAGACAGTTAAACACAGTCCAGTCCTGGATGTTTTTTTTAAAAACTTTAACCTATTACAAAAATGCATCATCAGTCCATCAGCTGTTGCCTCTCACACTGCGAATCAGCCAATCAGGCGGCAAGGGGAGGGCCTCAAAAAAAGCCACACATTTGCAGAATTATGTGTGGTTACGAATGTTCTCCGATCAGCTTAGCGGAACCACTGGGATGTGTTGCAGCTCCACTTTGTCAATCCAGACGGTTCCCATCCTCGCCCATGAAATTCAAGGGTATGGAACGGAGGATAAGCGACTCAAATTAATGTTGATGCGCTGCAGCGGTTCGGGAATCCACACGTGGACGATGTACTTTTTCGCGATTCCGGTTGAGCCGATCCTGCCGCGACAGGCGCTTATTTTGACGCTCCTCTCCGCTGGGGAGCTTGTGAGCCCCCCCCGACACAAAAACAATGTTGCTGGGGGAGAGCCAAGGTTTCCCGTTCTGAACATGCTGGCAGCTAATTATCCTGCGCTAAATTTAGCCTGATTCCTGCAATGGCGTTTCAAGAGGACCACCCTAAGCTCTGACCACTGAAAACAAAGAACAAAGTCTGAGCTGAGCTTGTCTTCCTCGGAAACACCCCCGGCAGGGGATTATTTTTGTTTGCCCCCCTCCATGCCGAATTAAAAACTCGTTCCTGCTTCTTACAGGCTGATGCCCCAGAATCTCCTCACTTTACCATTTTCGCTTTACAATTTCAAGCTTGATTTTTCCATGAACTCCTGCCACACACAAAAAAATTGCAATGCATCAAATGCAGGGGCGTATACAGGGCCACTGGCCCCAGCTGAAAGCTGATTGGCTCCTGGGGTGCCCCCTCTCCTGTCACACAGCGATTCAAAACACATCATTGGCTAATGGTAAAGTTGTCCCCTCTGTATGAATTATGCCCCTTTTTGTGCTGCCCACCTTCTTCCTACAAGAAAGGACACATTCGATGGATATCGTTAGATTTATTTATATCTTTTCTTGCTCCTTTGTTCCTGTGCTGCAGTTTACAGCAGTCTCTCTTCTGCAAACAGCTGGCCAACAACTGGAAAATCTAATAAATCTAAACACATTGACTTTGATATGTGCCGGGGGGGGGTGCACAAGCCAGTGAAGACATGAAGGGCATATTCTAGAGTTCAGCGCTGAGGCCTATGATTCATAAATAAGAGGAGAGCTGCAACTGCATGCATCCATCATGGTCGTTAAAAATCACACAGTCTAACAGAACGTCTCAGTTGGAAATTGGGCAGGATAAAAGCCCAAGATGGTTGGCAACACAGCCAGGGGGGGGGGGGTACGTGCGGACAAAGAAAGTCAAGGGAGTCACGCCGAAAATGGCCCGGATTCAGACTGACACACACAGATACTTCCAGAACATTCCTTTGTTTGTGTCAACGTTAGCCGGTGGGTGAAATCGTTGCCTGAGAACCGATTACAATAGAGCAGAGCGGGTATGAATGATCACGGATCAAAGGAAATACAAAAATTGGACCACGTCCGTTCAAAAATGGAAATTAAAATAAGGAATTGAAAAACACGGCTTGTGTTTTGTTGCCACCTTCAGATATCTGTTGTTCACTTAAAAAAAATGTTGTGAAACATTCAATTACATCAAATAGTGAAGAACTACTGGAACAGCCCTCTCATCTTAACCGAAAACACCTGACACATGACATTAATATTCACGAGGGCCGGTTGTGGGGGCATGGACATGGTTTTCATCTTGAGTACCAAATCTGATTGTTTCTTCAGAAAAACAAAAGTTCCCCGGAGGTTTGAAAGCAGCGTGTTTTGATCTTGAAATAACCAACCACATCATTGTACTCACAACAGCACTTATTGAAGAAATTACTTTAGAACACATCCATTCTGCTACCTTACTCTGTGGGCCTTCTGGTAATATGACTACAGGTCCTGTAGGTGTTTAGAAATCGCCTGCTCAAATTTAAGAACCTTCTACCTACTGACAACATGAAAATAAGTACCTGTAGGACAGTTCAAAATTAATAAGAAATGAGAATAGAAGGGAGAATAAAAGACCAAAACAAATGTGCCGTTTGCACGTTCTCCCCGTATCACAAACGAATGTCGACAGACAGAAAAGGGCAAAGTGAAAGGTCACTTACCCTTTGCTCTTGTGTGGCGACGAACGTCTGGAAGCCGGGAGCGACTCCGAAGCCCAGCTCGTGGACGAATGGCGGCTCGGACTGGCTGTGCACCTGCACCCTGATTCCGGCCTCGAACGCCGTTTCCTCTGCAAGGGGCGACGAGCATGAAGCGGAGTGTCAGAATCATCATGGAGGAACACATACACACGGCCCCACGACTCGCCGCATGCGGTCTCAAATCAGACTCAAAAAGGTCTTCATTGGCCAAAGGAATGTGTCTGAGTGGGTGAGCTGAGGTACAACATATAACATGCAAGTCCATTCAAGACAATTTACAGATATGTACACGTGACATTTTGCACATAATTTTACACTAGACTGTCTACCAACAGTCGAATGCAGCATGGGATGGAATAAAGGCTGAAACAAACAAACACTGAATAATCGGGCTGCACAATATCGCATTACGATATGCGAAATTTCTGCAAGCAACACTACAATATTTATAAAACACAAAAGGAAACTATAGCCAAAGAGAACTTTTTATTATGTACCAATAAAGTCTGTCAAATAAGTTGGTGGTGTAGCTGCAAGTTGCGAAAGACAAAAAGCAGTGAAGAGAAATGCGATGATTATTCTGCATGCGCACATCGCAATGACGATGGTGAAACAATATATCATGCAGCCCTACGGAATATGTTCGTTCTTTCTATCTATCTATCTATCATCCATCCACCTATCTATCTATCTATCTATCTATCTATCTATCTATCTATCTATCTATCTATCTATCTATCTATCATCTATCTATCTATCTATCATCTATCTCCCTCCTTTGATCCAAATCCCTGCCTCGTCTACGCACCACATGATGTGATTTCCCGTAAATCTGTCCCAGCTGGCACCTATATTCTCCACGAGCGTAATCAAGACGAAGTAGCAGCTGTGGGGGCGACACTTAAAGGTGACTGGCAATGTTAGCTGCCGCTTTAAAGAACAGCTGCATTCCCGCACGGACGTATCCCTGACAGCAGGCTCGCATCAGGCCCGTCCGATTAGATTTACACGCCGTACTCGCACCGTGCTACTCTGACGGTGGCTTCCCGCGGCGTCCGTGACCTCAGAGTTTTGACAGACCAACAATAGGAGACCTGCTGGGGAAAACTGTTACATTAACCTCACGGAGCCGGCAGCCGCGTGTCGGGGCTGGAGACATCCTTCCCGGCATGTGACACTTCCACTGAAAGAGGAAACGACAGTGTCCCGGTCTGCTCTCCCTCCCTCTGCGTTCTCAGCAACAAAAGCCATTAACTCCAGGCAGCCACCCCAATTAACTAGACAAGCTGGGGCCATATAGCAAACTACAGTACCTGCACTTATCAGGGGGGGTGAACCGTGTAAGTGGTACAATCCTGCAGGCTGATCTGCTACCCAGAAGCGGGAGTGAGTTAAATTTCTAAGGAAGAAAGTATATATATGCATGTTTGTATATACATTACTTATTTCTGTGGATGGATGGATGGATGGATGTGCAAACCTTCTATACCACAAGGAAAAATTAAGGGAAAACACTGGCGACACCAAGAATCCAGTAATATTTGCAAAAGAATAGAAATATTCAAAACAGTTACATATTTTCACAAACCACATTTCATCTGTTATCTAGCGGGAGGCAAATTATTACACCCAAGATGGAATATTTTTAACTAAAGGTCTGTGGAATCATGTATGATGGCATCACAGTGGAAACAAAGGCCCTCCTAGATGAATGATAAAAGTGAATTAGGACAGATCACAGGAGACAGTCCTCGGATGACTTTGCGTGCTCCAATCACGTGCGGCTGATGATTGGGCAGAGACGCCAGCTGGTTCGGCCACGAGCCGGAACGCGGACGACAGGCTCAAATGATGACACATTTCCTGGATGTGGACGACAGCCTTCCCACGAAGCCAGAGGCTCAGGTCAAATCCGCACAGATGGGGCAGGGCCTTATTACACACAGTGATTTACATTTTATTTATTCATCAGGCACTTTTATTTGGAGTGATGAACATTTTTTTATTAACATTATGAGGTTAAGGGCCATGCTGAAGGGCCCAATGGTGACATCACCCTGTCAACCCTGGGATTTGAACTGGCGAACTTCTGATCACAGGTGCACACACACACACACACACACACACACACACAAAAACTCTCTCTCTCTCGTAATAATTTGTATTCTCTCTAACTGGCCTCGTTGCTTGTAATCAGGCTCTTGCCATTAGCGCTTATCAGAATCGGACCGTCCTGCCAAAGCTGCTTGCTCCCCCTTTCAACTGAACAACAGACCTTCGCGAATCAAAAACTACGAGCTGTAATGCCCCCCCGGCTCCCATAAACCAGCCACCCAAAACCTACTGGGTGTTTTGCGCTGCGGATGCAGTTTTTAATTACGTGTGGCCGCCGCGTTTGACTTGCAGCGAGCCGTGTCTCCTGCGTGATGCGCTCGGTATTCAGGGGTAAATCTGCTTTTTTCAATTTTATCTTTAATAACCAGGCTAGAACGGGATGAGGTGGTGAAAGGAAACCATTTGCTTCGTGCCTGAGATGGCGATTATACTCACTACCTTCTCAGCCTGCAAGGAATCAGATGTTTCTTAAGCGATGGATTATTTCTATAATATATACAACCTATACCTCCAACCTGTTCAAACGAATAGTTACTTCAGCATTAGTTCAAATACAAGAACTCGTGGCCATAGGTGGAAATTAGCGGGAGAACATTTCAAACTGGATTTAAGGAAGCACTTCTTTACACAGCGTGTAGTCAGAGTATGGAATAGTCTTCCTGATAACGTAGTGCAAGCTGAATCCTTGGGTTCCTTTAAATCAGAGCTAGATAAGATTTTAACAACTCAACTCTGAGCTATTAGTTAAGTTCTCCCCAAGCGAGCTCGATGGGCCGAATGGCCTCCTCTCGTTTGTATAGTTCTTATGTTCTTATGTAACCTGAACCAGGTTCTGGTGTAAACAGGGGTGGAGCCAAAGGGGCACTGGCCCTAGCTGAAAGCTGATTGGCTCCCAGATTGTCACTCACCAGTTCGAAACATATCACTGGCTAATCAGTCACAAAAAAAAAGTCACAAAAATCCACACCATAAAAAACTGTTTTGAGTAAATCCCATTAAATCCCATTTGTTTGATCAAAAGACACAAGTGGTCCAGTGGTTCTTATCTAATCTTATCTTTACTACTCGATTGATTTTCTTCTTTTATTTTGATTTCAGTATATGCAGAGTAAATAATGTGGGCAGGAATATGATCTAATTTTATTGTGTTTACGCTGGTTCAATGTTTCTTCATTAAGAACATCCCATCTTACGGGTTTATTTCCATCAGGGGCAAATTTATGATTTTTTTTAAGGTGGAGGGAATAAGAAGGGCCATAATTCACACAAAAAGGGCAACCTTTTCATTAGCCAATGATATGTTCTGAGAACACGAGTGATAGGGCAGAGGGTACTCCAGGGACCAATCAGCTTTTAGTGACCCTGTGGCCCCGCCCCCGAATATGTCCCTTTTAAGTGTCGATTCTTCTTTTTCTTTGACAATCTTGTGAATTTCTTCCAAAGCTGGTTCAAAAGGGTTGTGCTTTTTGTAATATTGAGGAAGGTACTTCTCACATAATCCATACTTACGAGGACTGCAAAGCAACTAAATAAACTTTTGAAAAAAACTGTACAGAACTTTAACATCATACATATCTAGAGAAATATTAGGGAAATCTATGAAACAATTTTTTTTTTAAAAAAAGAACAGAAACATTCATGGGTGGTTCTTTGATGCCCATTTTTTTTTTATCCAAAGCTACATGCAATTAAGGAAGCCCAACGCTGACTCACTCAACTGACCAGGAGATCCGAGCCACCAACCTTCTGATCACTATCACAGTGTCTTAACCTGCTGAGCCACAAACCACTTTCCAGGCGCATGCAAATGCCATCAGGCTTTATTTACGACGTTCTTAGCAGACAATACTAAATCGCATCTGAAGATGTGCTTTTTTTTTTTACAGCTGTGTCCTTCTGAAGTCTTTTCTTCAGTGCCAAAGGACAGTAGGGCAGAAAGTTTACTGAGCACTGCTTTCTGGCATGGATCCTGTAAATGCCAGCTTTTGTTTTTTTTTTTCAAAGAAAAATAAATTACTTTTACAGTCCGCTGGGTAAAAGATAAAAATAATCTGAAACCTGGTGGCTTGGTCTCAAGGGGGCTGCGGCATTTTATAATGAAAAGACAACAGGAAAAACAAGTTACTTTTTTTTTTGACTAATCACTGTCCTCATTGCCGTTGAGATGGAAGCGTCCAATCAGCATTCTTTTAACTGATCAATCGGCTTTGTGATTGGCTCATCCAGTCCTGATACAGCATTAATGAGATACAAAGCATGTTGTATTGAAGCCCAAGTGCATAATTCTAGCAAAAACGACTTATTTTAACAGTATTACTAGTTTCTGTTATAAAACAGGCTCCCTAGGTAGCACTATAATCTCTCACCTCCAGGGCTGTGGGTTCGATTCTTGTGCCCGACTGTCTCTGCACAGTCTGGATGTTCACCACAGGTTTGTGCAGGTCAGGTGAACAAGTCTCTCTAAATTGCCCATAGTATGTGATTATTTGTTTGAATCTGTGTCCTGTGACGGCAAGGCATCCTCCGCAGCGAATACCCCAAGCATGTGTCATGCTTCCTGGAGGATTGGATTACAAGTTACAGAAGATGGACGGATATATACAATTTCATATATAGGCTTGTGATGTTATATATACAGTGAATCGGTCCCTTGTTGAAATGCGTTTCTGACTTGCTCTCCTCCTTCTTCTCCTCCCGTCTCCATTCTCCCAGGCAGCTATTTTAGGCCCCTGATCCCAGCGTTACATGAATAAGTAACAACAAAGCTCTCTTTTGGAGAGCCATTTTCTGGACCGATACGTGCTCTGCCAACGAATAGGTCAGGACCCGCTGCTCTGGAAAGAGATTCCACATGAGTACTCTGTTGCTCTACTCCTCTCGGAAACTTAAAAAATTTTAATAAACTGCAATTTTTTTTTTTGATTTGGGTGGGCGATGGAGGGAGCGATTACAGCTTTTACTAATTTTCTGAGAAAAAAAATCGGTGAATTAGCTCCTCTGTAATTACTCCCTGTAAACGTAAGGAAAGTGAAATGGGCTCCGTTAGAATGAACGCTCAATCTAGTCAGATTCCCCACAATTTTCACTAAAAGCTCTCGGCTGCCATTCATGCTTCAGGTTGTGTATGAGAGTACAAACATCCTCCATCCCAACTCACTGAAAATCCCAGTAGTTCACACTGCTTTGCTTGCATTTATTTTCTTTTGGAAATCATGTGCTTAAGCTGCAATCACATCCCCTGATTCAGTTTGGATGAGCCTGGGATTCCCCGACTGCTAACGGCCGGGGTTTAAATATAGATGGAGCCCAGCGGAGCCTCCTTATGCCCAAAACACACCTTGTAGGAGCGCAACTCCACCTTTTTTGCTAATGTCCCAGAATTTAGTAAAAGATTCTAAGTGAACGGTTTAATAAAAGGGCAGATTTATGTTTTTTTTCCTTCAGCTTTAATGTTAATTTTAGTTAGTCACTCTGACACGTTCCTACGTGTTTTTTGTCTCATGGTTTTGTATTTTGACTCTTTTCACTTACTGTACTGCTGCCAAAACTTCACTTACTAGCTAGAAGTAAGAAGTGTGTAAGAAGTGTGTAAAACATGTGTAAGACGTGTGTATGACGTGTGTAAGAAATCCGTGAGCAGCTTAGTATTTTAATGCATTTTCTGGGGGAAATTGTGAATGAATGAGCAAGAATATTACTTGTAGCGAAAAACCATTTCGATGCACTTTTAAGGTTTTACATGTTGTTTAAAAAAAAAATTCAAAGCACTATTTATTACCTATAGTTATCTTACCTAC